GGAGGGGAAGGAGGTAAGGGGGAAAAAAGACAAGGCAGAGCAGACAAGGAGGCAGGTGGTTACTTTCTTGTGAGGCTCTGATTAGCACTCAGTGAATCTACATTTCACATGTGAAAAGTAGGAGTAAAGGAAAAGTCATTTATGCATTCATCTGGGAGTAGACAGAGGGATGATTTCTAGTCTTATTCTTGTCTTCTACCTGTGAAGATAAGCTAATAATTTACATTGTCAGGGTGAGATTCAACATACAGTGGAATATTATTTGTCCATAAAAAAGAATGAATTACTGATTGCTGTGGTTTAAATGTGTCCCCCTCTGTGTTAGTCTATTCTTGCACTGCTATAAAGAAAACCTGAGACTAGGTAATTCATAAAGAAAAGAGGTTTCATTGGCTTACAGTTCTGCAGGCTATACAGGAAGCATAGCAGCTTCTGCTTACTGAGGAGGCCTCAGGAAGCTTCCAATCATGGTGGAAGGCAAAGTGGGAGCAAGGCACTTCACACGACCAGAGCAGGAGGAAGAGAGAGAGGGGTGAGGTGCCACACAGTTTTAAGCAACCAGATCTCATGAGAACTCACTATGGCGAGGATACTACCAAGGGGGAAATCTACCCCCATGATTCAGTCACTTCCTACCAGGCCCACCTCCAACACCGAGGATTACAATTTGATGTGAGATTTGGTGGGGACACAGATCCAAACCACATCCTCCTCCAAAACTCAGGTATTGCCAGTGTGATGATATTAAGAGATGGGCCCTTTTAGAGGTGGTTAGGCCATGAGGGCTTTGCGGATGGAATTAAGGCTCCTATAAAACAAGTATCATGCATTGCTGGTGTATCTCTTGCCCATCTACCTTCTGCCATGTGAAGACATGGAGTTCTTCCCCTTAGAAGATACAATAATCACCAGGTAACTGAACATGCTGGTGCCTTGATCTTGGGCTTCCCAGCCTCCAGAACTGAGAAAATAAATTTCTCTTCCTTATAAATTACCCAGTCTCAGGTATTTTGTTGTTACAACACTAATGGACTGAGAAACTGATTTGAGCTATAACACGGATGAACCTCAAAAACACTACGCTAAATGAAAGAATCCAGACACAAAAGATCTGTTTTCTTAAGCAGTTCCTCTGAACAAAATACTATACCAGCTGAATTAACTAGTCTTGCAGCTACAACACTAATGGACTGAGAAACTGATTTGAGCTATAACATGGATGAACCTCAAAAACACTATGCTAAATGAAAGAATCCAGACACAAAAGATCTGTTTCCTTAAGCAGTTCCTCTGAACAAAACACTATACCAGCTGAATTAACTAGTCTTGCTGCAAAAATGGTCTTAGTCTCATCTTTGGTGAAAATAAGATAGATTTTTTTGTTTGTTTGCTTTTGTTTTCTGAGACAGAGCTTCACTCCTGTTGCCCAGGCTGGAGTGCAATGGTGCGATCTCGGCTCACTGCAACCTCTGCCTCCTAGGTTCAAGTGATTCTCCTGCCTCAGCCTCCCTGTAGTTGGGATTATCGGCATGCACCACCACGCCTGGTTAATTTTGTATTTTTAGTAGTGATGGGGTTTCACCATGTTGGTCAGACTGGTCTCGAACTCCTGACCTTAGGTGATCCACCGGCCTCGGCCTCCAAAGTGCTCAGATTACAGGCGTGAGCCACCATGCCTAGCCTGTGTCTTTTTATTAGGAAAGAAATACATGCTTATAAAATATCAAACAGTAAAAAAACTTTGAAGTAAAAATAAAAGTGCCCTATTTACTCCATCCTTACTTCTAAATACTGAGATTACTTTCACAGTGAACAAAATGGTCACTTGCCATCATATCAATATAAATAGTCTAACAAATATCTTGTTTTCATAAAATTAACAATACTGAGCTATTAAATTGACTTCTGATATCAACTGCCTGAACTTAGGCCAAATTTCAAAGGTTGAGAGCATGGCCTTCATAAGACTGCCATTACTTCAGATACCAGCCCCAAGTTCAGGGGTTCCCAGGGGTGTCCTCACTCCTGATCAACTGACTACAAATTTGGGGATTCCCATGATCACTTCAGGTTTTATGATTTATTAGAATGACTCACTGAACTCAGGATAGTGTCATGCTTATGACTGCAGTTTTGTTATAGCAAAAGGATACAAATCAGAATCAGCCAGAGGGAGAGATGCATGGGGTAAGGCCTGAGAGAGTCCTAAATGGAAATTTCCACTGACCCCATCGATATATCACTTTCTTAGAACTTTAATGTGTGATAATACACAGAGTATTGCCAACCAGGGGAGCTTCAATGTCCAGAGTTTTTATTGGGGTCCATTATGTAGGCATGATTGATTGAACCGTTGGTCACAAGTTGAACTCAGTCTCTAGCTTCCCTTCCCCACCTGGGCTGATATAATACGGCTCAAGGCCCCAGTGCTCCAATCACATGGCTGGTCTTTCCAGCATGGCCAGCCCTATCCTGAATCACCTTCTTAGCATAAACTATCTTGGAGCCCATCATGAGAGACCTCATTAGCATGAGGTATACGGGCCCACCATGAATAACAAAGACAATCCTATTACTTGGAAAATTCTAAGGATTTAAAGGCTACCTCCCAGGAAGTGGGGTTAAGATCCAGGCAAATTCTTTACTACCCAGGTTAACTGCAGCAGGATACAATATTCAGAGAGTAAACGAACAAGTAAAGGCACACGGTCAACCTCTCAGAGTTGTGGAACTTCCAGTCTTCCCTCTTAATAGGTGCCATACCACACATGACATGCAATTAATACTAGTAAAGCTTATTTTCCTTAAAACTTTAAATCAGTATAAATAGATGTTTAGTGTTTTATCTCTGTGCCTTAGCAGATCCTCTTTTATACTGCCTAAAGTACTTGCACCCTATTTTGGAGATCACTGCCCAAGAGATCTCTTGGATAAATAATTTAAAGGGATAGGGGGGTAGATTCTATTATTGTTTCCAAATGTTTATGTTCTCCTTTGTGAAAGGATCTAACTTTGATACCCTTGACATATCTTTCTGTAGACAAAGTATATCTGTCTCGCTTACAGATAACTTGCATTGGCCAACAGAATCAGAGCAAATACAATGTACACCTTATATGAATAAAGGATGCTACTACATGGTCCAGCTTACAAGGAGCTATTCTGTGATCTCAGCTTCCAGAATGAGAAAACACTTGGAAAGGAGCCAAGCCGAGTTGCAGTCAGCTCCATGGTGACCCTAAGCACATGTGCAATGTGAGTGAGAAATACATGTTTGTGTTGTAAGCCACTTGGATTTTGGGGTTGTTGGTGATACAGTGTAATCCAGTTATAACGTGACATTCCAGGGAGAGAGCTATAATTTTAGGAATATGGTTTGCTTTCTAATTATGAGCTTAGATTTAAAGCCTCTGAGAATCAATGATCATTATTTCAGGGAGTATGTGTGCATGTATACCTGTCTACGTGCACATGCTGGTTAGGTCCAATAATTAATTGTGGAGAACTTAAAATTCTCTTATCCTTCCCTTATGCTTTGTCATTCCCTTTTCCCTTTTCTTACTAAATAATTTGGTTCTAAACAAAGCAGTAGCAAGAGAGGTGTCTGTGTTGAGGTAGCTGGGAGAGCAGGAGTGGCCTGGCTGGCACAGGGTGAGAACTTTAGCAGGGTGAAAAGGGTGACTATGCAGGGTATTGGCCTGACAGTGGTGCTGGAGCCCAAGCAGAGTGAGAAGAACACCCCGTGGGGGTGGGAAAGCGTTCTGGCATGGAGAACCAGAGCGAGGAGATGTCCACTCCTGACAATGGCCCAGTGCAGGGTGTCAGAGGATAAGATCGACGAGGGTGTCCATAGGAGGGGTAGCCTGATGTGAGAAGTCAGAGCCTGAGAGGTGGTGGGAGAGGCAGGTGTAGTGACTTGGAGGGCAAGCAGGGTGAGGAGGGCATTCATGTATGAGGTCACCTTCTCTAGGGAGTCAGAGTCGCAAGCAGAGTACTCTGGGGCCAGCCTGGCGTGTATGTCAGCACGTGGGAGAGGTGAGGAGGACACCCATGCCTAGTGTTGGCCCCGTTGGGGTTGGGACTCAGCACTTAAGCAGGATGAGGAGAGAGAGCATCCTTGCAGAGGGTAGACCTGGTGTGGGTTTCAGAGACCAAGCATGATAAGGAGGGTGTCTATGGGGTGGGGTAGCCCAGTGAGGGAACTCAGATCCTAAGTAGCGGAAGGTGGGCATTGTTGCTGGGGGATGGAGGACCTGCATGGAGTGTCAGAGCCCAAGCAGGATGAAGAAAGCTTCTATGCAGAGGGTAGACTTGGTGTGGGTTTCAGAAACTTAGCAGGATAAGGAAGTGGTCCATGTGGTAGGATAGCCCAATAAGGAGGTCAAACCCCTCCAGGGTGAGGAGGTTCCCACCCATGGGGTGACCTTGTGTGGAGCATTAGAACCTAAGGGGGTCTCAGTGGTGACTAGGGGACCAGCATCAGGAATCAGGGCGCAAGCAGAGTGAGGAGGGCTTTCCTGCAGAGGAGTGGCCTAGCGCAGGGAGTCAGAACCTCGGCAGGGTGAGGAGGATGTTTGTCGGGGGATGTTCGTGGGGATGGGGAGTAGGCTGGCCCTTTGCCGGCACCCTCAGAGTGAGGAGGGAGGGCATCAGCACAGGGGATGGTGGCTTGGACTGAGGAGTTAGAGCCCAACTAGGAAGAGAGGGACATCTTAGCAGGTGGGAGATTGAAGACATCCAGGAGATTGATCAAATAAGGAGTAAGTGAAAGACAATGAAAGCAGGTTTCTTACTGTCACAGAAAGGAGTTAGGAATGTGGGAAGGGAGAAAACCAGAATGAATCCTGTGGTGTTAGATTGGAATTAGAGGAATTCATGTGAACTCGTGGTATTCAATATATTTAGATATAGAAATAATATAGAAATATAGAGGTGTGTGTTTGTGTGTGTGTGTGCATGTATGCATGCGTGTTATGTAGGAGAAGGAATCAGCTCGGGGAGATTAAAAGGAGGGTCATTTGCAGAGAGTTGAGGGCAGAGAATCCAGGTCTGAGCTGGGAGCATGTCTATGGAGAGATTCCACATGAAGGATTTAATATTTGGAGTGTTTTCTTCTAGGCCTTTGGAAAAAGTTATATTTCATACTTTAAGTTTATCCCCTTCTATACTGTGTTTCTATTTAATTATCCTAACTGTTAAAAAATAGTCATATATATTGGAGGTGGTGTGGGGATTAAAAGGCTAGGAAAGTATGGAATAAAGGCTGGCCTTCCCTCTCCTCCAGCATCCAATAAAGGGAGCTGCTTTCTGGAGATTCTAGCAAGATGAATGCAGACTCTTGATAGAGTAGTTACCAACAAGGAAACACAGAGAGCATGGAGAAGCAGCTTCAGAAGGCATGGGGTTTAAACTTCACCTTCTCCACCATGCTAGAGGAAGCTGATTCTTGAAGGTAGGGAGGCTGATACGTGAGTTTTGTGTCTATATTCTTAGAATGTGGTACTAACAAGTTGCCTATCAGTCAAAAATGATAAGATGAATGCAACCTAAGTCTTTGTTCAGGTTGTTTGGTCAAAAGTCATTACATTTGCGTGTGGAAGCACACAAATTGTATTTTTTACTGGTGAAGAACACAGTTTTCAAGAAAGACTTCTCTAATTGCTTGGTTCCTCTTTTTTTTTCCTTCCTGTTTCCACAACCCTTTGGTTTCCCACTTTTATTACATTTGCTTGCATTTGTTTCAAGGCTGTGATTCTCACTACACTGGTCCTGAGGAAAGGGCCTCTGTGAACTGAGGTTTTTGGTTTTTATTGTGATCCTTAGTTCTCAAGAGACCCTTCTTGAAGATATGTGCCTATCTGGTGCCTCTGCTCTCCTCTAGGTGAGTGAAAGGAAGGAGGTAATCTACCACCATGTTTGGTTCTCATTTATACGATGTTTTAAGAAAGATTTGAAACAAATATTTTGAAGAAAGCAGAAGGTCTCTTCCCATTATGACTTCGGAAATCACTTATGCTGAAGTGAGGTTCCAAAATGAATCCAAGTTCTCAGGCATCGACTCAGCCTCTTCTGCAGGTAAAGATCATTTTCTGGGGGTCAGAGTGAATGATGAGATGAAGGATGAGGAGAGGGTTTATGAATAAGGCCTAGGTGTTGTGAGTTGCTGGTTCTCTGATTGAGTATGTCTGGGAAACACCAGAGTCCCAGAAGATTGAGTAGCCTGCAGATACACATTACGGGGTGTACATTTGTATTGTGGAGAACAAAAGATTTTGTGCCACTCTCTTCAGCCTCCACTCTGCTTACTAAAATAGAGGTGAGAGAAATCAACGCCAGTTCTGAGCTAAGGCGAGTGCTCTGATGCCCCTGTGTTTTCTAAGGCTGAGTGGGGCTGGGGTTAAGAGGTTGAATATAGCTTCTGAAACCATCAACCCAGATGCAGGGAGTCCTGATGAATTTGTGAGATTTGTTTTTTGATCAGTTAGAGGGAAAGAGTTTGGGTGGACAGTGGTGAGGGCATATTTGTTGGTAATGGATGGAAATGTAACAAAAGGCCATTGCAAATGAAAGACTAGAAAGTCTACAAAGAGGCTGGGCACGGTGGCTCAAGCCTGTAATCCCAGCACTTTGGGAGGCCGAGACGGGCGGATCACGAGGTCGGGAGATCGAGACCATCCTGGCTAACATGGTGAAACCCTGTCTCTACTAAAAAATACAAAAAACTAGCCCGGCGAGGTGGCGGGCGCCTGTAGTCCCAGCTACTCGGGAGGCTGAGGCAGGAGAATGGCGTAAACCCGGGAGGCGGAGCTTGCAGTGAGCTGAGATCCGGCCATTGCACTCCAGCCTGGGCGACAGAGCGAGACTCCGTCTCAAAAAAAAAAAAAAAAAAAGAAAGTCTCTTAAATCTCCAGGAAACTTTTTCTGAAATCAGAGAACCTATTGCATGTTGCATCTCTGAGACAGACTCTGTTACGTTTGGGAGTAGATGCAAGGTAATTTGGGTGTCATGTGTGATATCCCAAGTATAGAGCAAAAGAGAGAAAAGAATGTATATAGAGGACAAGAAACTATGGGGGAAGGGGTCAGGACTATAGTTATGCTTTCTAAAATATCTCTGTGAAGGTGTCGAGAGCACTTAGGGACATTTTTTCCCCTTGAAAACTTTGTATAATTTCTTTATTACACAAGTATTAATGTTCATTGTAGAATAAATTAGCCAGAGGTACACACATATTTGAATTACAATTACTCTTATCATCTAGAGACAATCATAATTTGCAATTTAGTGAATATCCTTCCACATACAAATACATATCAGGTGCATATGTATTTTACTGAAAATGTAATCATATTATATAATACTAAAGATTTCCCCCCATCATTTTACAAAATATCATAACTTTAAGAAAGCAATTTCTAACCATGAGATGGTAACCATGGATGATTATAAAAATTTATTTGCTATAGCATTATTTAAAGTTGGAAACAATCTATTATTTAAATGTATGATGAAATACTGCGCAACCATAATAAGGAGCGTTAAAGAAGAAAATATAAGGGTATGAAAAATGTTCATGATACAGTGTAAGGAAAATAATAGGTCAGATATCAGTATTTATGGTATGTCAATCATGTGGGAAAATTTGAATATATGTATATATACATTCATAAAATTGCTAGAAAGATATATATCAAAATATTATGGTGCATTATAACTTATATGGCATAACAGTTATCCTCAATGGTAGGAATTTGTATTTTTATATATTTTCTAAAGTTTCTAAAGTGAATATTATAGCCTTTCTATTCCTGTTCTCATGTGATTTCAAATGTCATACCGTTAGTAACTGTGTATCATCCAAGAAAAGGGAAGGAGGAGAAGGAAGAAGAGGAAGTAAAGACAGAACTTATTACTGATAAAACTGATTTGGCTTCTTCTTCAGCTTCCAAGGAAAGGACTGCCCCTCACAAAAGTAATACCGGGTTTTCCAAGCTGCTTTGTGCCTCATTGATGATATTTTTCCTGCTATTGGCAATCTCATTCTTTATTGCTTTTTTCAGTAAGTATGCCAACCGAACCAATAAGCAATATCTGCTGTACATGAAGAGAGGGTATCTTTTAAAAACTGACTTTTAAAAATGAGTTTATCCAGAAATCCGAAGTGAAATTTTCTCTGGGGAGACACAATTTTCTCTGGGAATCCACTGTGAATTTTACTCTTTATTTGGATTTAGTTACTGTCCTGTAAAAATAACAGAATCCATTCTCATTTAGAGAAACTGAAGCATAAATGTGGGTGTATGTATTTGTATTGTAGAGTGAAATCTATGGGGCATCACCTCTATACTAGACACTATGTAAGTGAGGACAAATCTATATTTCCTTGGTAGCATTTATCAGGCCAGTATTATTTGAATGCACAGACACTTATCTTTTGGGATAAGCAGGTAGACAACAAAGAGATGGGCAAACATATTTCAGGAGGAGTTCTCCACTGACTTTTACTCTGATTATTCCTGTCCTGCTCAAGACTGTGTGGGATCTAAAAGCCAGTTTAGCAAATTAGGTGGATTGCTGCATATGTTTGGCTTTCAGCATTTGTTGGGTTCTTCCCCGCTGCTCTGTTAGCCAGGCTGGGGTGCAGTGGTACAGTCTTGGCTCACTGCAACCTCCACCTCCCAGGTTCAAGCGATTCTCCTACCCCAGCCTCCCAAGTAGCTGGGATTATAGGTGTGCGTCACCATGTTCAGCTAATTTTTTTTCGTATTTTTAGTAGAGACAGGGTTTTCTCATGTTTCCTGGCCTAGTCCTGAACTCCTGGGCTCAAGCAATTTGCCCGCCTCAGCCTCCTAACGTGCTGGGATTACAGGCATGAGTCACCACTCCTGGCCCCAAATTTTTAAAAGGCATCAAAACTAGTGTACATTTAGGTAGATTCTCTATTAATTTCTTTGGTCATTTCGTAAGTATTGTCTGTCTACTGTATGTCAGGCACTGTGCCAGACAGAGAGTCAAGACAGAGCCACAGCACCTGGTCTCAAGAAATTTAGAGAATGGTAAAATGAACCAGCGGTTATAACATTGTATGGTAAGTGTTGTGCAGTTAAGAAGTAGAATAAGTGCAAGAGGCTGAGGTAGGCTTCCTGGAGGAGGTGACATCTACAGCTGTGTATACCAAGAATGACCTAGAGATGAGAGAGTGTGGAATTTGGGGAAACGTAAGTATGCATGATTGGAACATATGGCGCTAAGTAAAGAACTAAGAAATGAAGTTGTAGGTGACAGAAATAAACAGGACTCAGACCATGAAGAGCGCTGTATATCATGATAAAGAGTTTGGATTTTTTTCCCTCCTAAAGGTTATTTTATCAATTATCTTTTGCTGGTTAATAAGCCAATCTAAAACGTAGTGGATTAAAACAGCAACTATTTATTTAGCTCATACATCTGTGGCTTGGCAATTGAGACTGGCATCAGTTGGGAGATTCCCTGAGTCCTGGCTGAACTCATATGTGGTTGGGTACTGGCCACAGGCAACTTAGCTTCTGAGGAAGAGGATGTTAGCTGGAATGGCAGGAGAGATTTGGCCACATTTCTCTTATCGTTCATCAGGCTAGCCTGGGTTTGTTCACATGGCAACTGGCAGGCTTTTAAGACTGAAAGCTGAAGTAAGCAATGCCTTTTGAAGTCTCACCTTGGAACTAGCGCAGATCTCACCTTGGCCAAAAGAAGTCTTACAGGCAGCTCAGATCCAGGCAGTGGAGAAATAGACCACGTCTCTTAAATGAAGAAACTGCAAAATCACATTGCAAAACAGTGTAGATCCAGCGAATGTTGAAAGTTGTGGCCATTTTTGCAATTTTTAAAATTGAAGAATTTTAAGCAGGGAATTGATATAATCGGATTGGACTTATGAAGAAGTGCCCAAAGTGGAATAAATTACACCAAAAGTAGTAATGATGTATAAAGATTCAAAGAAAATCCATTGAAAGAAATGAAAACACATAAATATGCAATAGCTAAAACATCAACAAATAATAAAATAATAAATAACAAAATAAAATATTTTTAAAAGCAAAAAAAAAAAAAAAGAAATAGCATGTTGACAGAGGTGTGGAAAATGGATATATGAGGACAAATTTGGAGGGAAAGAGAGGTTAGAAGGATGATTCGCTAATTCAATTGAGAAATATTGTCAGACTGGTCTATGGTTAGTGTTAGCGCAAAAAGAGAAGAAGAAGTAGGTTTGAATGATAAAGGAGGTAGAGGTTTGATGAATATTCAGTTCTGGGAAATAAGGGAACTAGAGAAGTAAAGTGTGGCTCCAATATTCTGACTTTGTAAACTCAGAAATCATTAAGTTTTTCAAAGAGGTAGACAATATAGGATCAGTAGCAGGTTTGGATTGGAAGATGGTGACTTAAGTTTTGGGCATGTTGAGTTTTACATGACTGTGAGAACCTCAAATGGACATGTCTGCTGGTACATTTGTCTGGATTTAGGGGGAGAGGTCTGAGCTTTGGAAGTCCTTCACATAGAGGTAGCAGGTGATGCCATGAGAATATATGATATCACTCAGGGAGATAACTTAGTATAAGAACGAGGGATAAGGATGGAACTCTGGGATATGTTACATTTTAAATGAGATGGATGGAGGAAAAGGGGCCTACAGAAAAGTGTAAGAAGCAGCAGCAAGAAAGGTAAGACAAAAACAACAGAGAGTAGTGTCCCAAGAGCTAAGGGGAAAGCTAAGGGTCAAGCCTTTAAGGAAGTCAAATAGGAAAAGGACTAAGTAACCCTAGGATATTACTGAAGATCCATTTTAGGGATGGTTTTAGTGAAATAGTGAAGTAAAACCCAGAATATGATGGGTCAAGGAGCAAATGAAAGGCAGGGAGGAAAGAAAAAAAGTTCAGTTTCTTTTCTTTCTTTCTTTTTTTTTTTTTTTTTGAGATGGAGTCTTGTTCCGTCGCCCAGGCTGGAGTGCGGCGGCGCGATCTCGGCTCACCGCAACATCTGCCTCCCAGATTCAAGCAATTCTCCTGCCTCAGCCTCCCAAGTTGCTGGGATTATAGGCACCTGCCACTGCGCCAAGCTAATTTGCGTATTTTTAGTAGAGACGAGGTTTCACCATCTTGGCCAGGCTAGTCTCGAACTCCTGACCCTCTTTGACCTCCCAAAGTGCTGGGATAACAGGCGTGAGCCACCGTGTCCGCCCAAAAGTTCAGTTTCTAGAGGGAGAGGTGGGTTAGTTTTAAATTGGGAGAAACATGGGAGCGTTGGTGTGCTGAGGAGTAAGAGCCAGTTGGGATGGAGAGAGTAATGGAGAGAAGAGGAAGAAAATCATGCGCTCTTGATCCATGTGGGGTTCTTTTTAAAATTCTCCATTGTCCAAGGTAACCCAGAACTCCTCAGAATTAATTTGCCCCTCTCCCCTCCGCTCCAAAGTCCCAGGGTGTGCACATCCCTAAATACAAGTGTTTATTGCCCTCCGTCCCCCCACTCCCAAGCGTTAGCCTTTGCGTGCATCTTATATTAAGCATTGAAGGAGAATGTGGGGGGGGGGGACTTTAGATCCATTATGATGGAACTGTTGTGTCCTCTTCCAACTACTGATCTTCTAGCTATTCCTAGAGATATCTATAGTTTCAAAATGGGAAATCTTTTCCCTCTACTCAAGTAATACGGCACTTGTAAATTTTGTTTCAATAAAGAATGCAAGAAAGTAACGATAAAGAGCAAAGTCATAATGCCGCCAGGAAAATAAATGGTCTTTATTCTCTTTTCCAGTTTTCTTTCAAAAATATTCTCAGCTTCTTGAAAAAATGACTACGAAAGACCTGGTTCATACAACATTGGAGTGTGTGAAAAAAAATATGACCACGGAAGGTAAAAGTTAATGTGCCTAGAATTCAGTTGCTGACTTACTATGTAGGGATCCCAAATCAGTATTTCCAGTAACATTCTCAGGTAGATCATACTGAGAAGTTGAGTCTCACAATAATTTAAGCTACAAATATACAAACATATAGGACATGCCGGGCGTGGTGGCTCACGCCTGTAATCCCAGCACTTTGGGAGGCTGAGGCGGGTGGATCACGAGGTTAACAGATCGAGACCATCCTAGCCAACATGGTGAAACCCTGTCTCTACTAAAAGCACAAAAATTAGCTGGGCGTGGTGGCATGCACCTGTTATCCCAGCTACTCGGGAGGCTGAGGCAGGAGAATCACTTGAACCTGGGAGGCAGAGGTTGCGGTAAGCTGAGGTCCTGCCACTGCACTCCGCCTGGCGAGGGAGCAAGATTCCGTCTCAAAAACAAAAACAAACAAACAAACAAACAAAAACACCCCAAACCAGAAAACAAAAAGCAAATATATAGGACATAACATTCTTTTGTTGTTGTTTTTTTGAGACAGGGTCTCCCTTTGTTGCCAAGGCTGGAGTGCAGTAGCGCAAACACAGCTCACTACAGCCTCAGCCTCCTGGGCTCAAGTGATCCTTGCATTTCAGCTTCCTGAGTAGCTGAGACTACAAGCACATGCCACTACACTCAGCTAGTTTTTGTATTTTTTGTTGAGATGGGGTTTCACCCTGTTGCCCAGGCTAATCTTGAACTCCTAAGCTAATCTGTCTGTCTCAGTCTCCTGAAGGGCTGGGATTATAGGCGTGAGCCACGGTGCCTGGTCCTAAAATTCTTCTTATGTACTCATGTATCTTTAGTTTGTCTATGGAAAAAAATAGAAGCTTAATTGTGAAAAAGGTTACATTGCTTTTAGACGTCTTCAACCTTTGCTTCTTTCTGAACTTTCTATACACATTTGCTCTTTTTCTCACATATCAGTTAAAACCATGTGATGAAAATGTGGTGATGATTTTTTAATGGATGTGAATTATTTAAATTCTTTAAATTAATAGATTATTATTATTATTATTATTATTATTGAGACAGGATCTCACTCTGTTTTCCAGGCTGGAATGCAGTAGTGTGACCACAGCTCACAGTAGCCTTGATCTCCTGGGTTCCAAGTAATCCTCCACCTCAGCCTCCTAGTAGCTGCGATCAAAGATGCCCACTACCATGCTTGGCTATTTCATTTTTATTTTTTGAATCTTTGTAGAGAGAGGATCTTGCCATGTTGCTCAGGCTGGTCTTGAATTCCTGGCTTCAAGCAATCCTCCCACCTCAGCCTCCCAGTGCTGGGATTACAGGAGTGAGCTACTGTGCCTGGCTAACAGGTTATTTTTAAGAACAGTTTTATATTCACAGAAAACTTGAGCAGATAATGCAAAGAGATCTCATTTTACCCCTGCTCTGCACACATGCTGTCCCCTGTTGTTAACATCTTACAGGAATATGGTATATTTCTTACAACTAATTAACTAATATTGGTATATTATTATTAATTAAAATTCACAATTTTCAGGTTTCTTTAGTGTTCACCTCATGTTTCTTTTCTGCAATAGGATCCCCATCCAGAACACCACATTACATTGAGTTCTCATGTCTCATGTCTCCTGTTCTCAGCACCTCTTTGCTGTGGTAGTTTCTCAGATTTTCCTCATATTTGATGACCCTGACAGTTTTGAGCAATACTGGTCAGCTATATTATGGAATGTCCATCTATCGGAATTTGTCTGATGTTTTTCTAATAATTAGACTGGGATTACTGGTTTTCGGGAGGAAGATCACAGATGTAAAATGCTATTTTCATTACAACATATCAAGGGCATATATTATCAAAAGGATTCTTGGCTATTGATGTTGACCTTGATCACTTGGCTAAGGTAGTGTTTGTCAAGTTTCTCCACTGTAAAGTTACTCTTTCCCTCCCTGCCCCTTTCCATACTACACTCTTTGGAAGGTAAGGATTGGGAAGTTATGGTCTCCTTTCATGAGGTGGAGTATGGTATCAGTCATGGTCAGCAGGCTGGAGACTCAGGAGTAAGAGCTGCAGTTTGAGTCCAAAGACCATCTGCTGCAGAACCTTGAAGAACCAGTGCGCAGATGAAGTGCAAAGGTGGTCCACCAAGTTTCCTCTTGCTCAGAGGAGGTCCTCTTTTTGTTCCATTCAGATCTTCAATTGATTAGATGAAGTCTACTTACATTATTGAGGGCAATCTGCTTTACTCTAGGTCCAGCAAATTTAAATGTAAATCTCATCCAAAAACATTTTCATAGAAACATCCAGAATGTTTGACCAAATATCTGGGTACTGTGGCCCAGATAAGTTGACACATAAAATTAGCCATCACATGTATCTATATAACTTATTTGAAATTTTGTCTAGGTGACATTTGTCTCTTTTATTCCACTTATTTATCCAATATTTATTTATATCTGCATGTACTCATGGAGATATATCTATCTATCTATCTATCTATCTATCTATCTATCTATCTATCTTCAACTTTTAAGTTCAGGGGTACATGTGCAGTATGTGCAGGTTTGTTTCATGGGTAAATGTGTGCCATGGTGGTTTGCTACACGGATCAACCCATCACCCAGGTATTAAGCCCAGTATCCATTAGCTATTCTTCCTGATGCTCTCCCTCTCCCAGCTTGCTCCCTCCACCACAGGCCCCAGCGTGTGTTGTTCCCCACCGTGTGTCCAACTCCATGGACATTTATTTTAAATTTTGGTTTATAATCCAATACTACTTTATTTTGTGGTTCCAGCTTTGGACATTGGGAACTCTTTCATTTGACTCCTGTGACCCTTTAACGTATCACCAGAATGTGTTTTTTCTTTTGTTTTGGTTTAGCACTTCCTCCCTTTCTGGGACTGAAAATGCTGGAGACTCACATTGTACATTTCATGTCCCTATCCTAGAGTCAGATATTTCTTTGAGGAGCCCTAGTTCCTTTGATTGAAGAAGAGTATCTTATGAATTTCGATAATCTGTAATGTCATTTTCATTCAGTTCAATGTATTTTTTAAAATTTCCCTTTAGACATCTCCTTTGATTCATGGATTATTTAGAAGTGTGTTGTTTAGTTTCAATTGTATGGAGATTTTCCTGTGTTATTTCTTTTATTAATTTCTGGTTTGTTTTCACTGTGGTTGGATATATGATTTCAGCAATTTTAAATTTATTGAGGTTATTTAATGTCCCAAGATATTGTTTGTTTCAGCATATGTTTCGGGGGCACTGGAAAAGAATGGGTATTCGGTTGTTGGGTGGAGTGTTCTATAAGTGTGGATTAGATCCTTGTAGTTGATGATGTTTTTAAGTTTTATGTTCTTGCTGATTTTCTGTGTGGTTCCGTCAATTGTTGAGAGAGAGGTGTTGATGTATCCACCTGTAATTGTATATTTTTCAATTCCTCCCTTCAATTGTATCAGTTTTGCTTTATAGATTTTGCAGCTTTGTTTGATATGTACACATTTGGGGTCACTTTACAAGGTTCTGTTTATTTTTATTTATTTATTTATTTATTTTGAGATGAAGTCTCACTCTGTCGCCCAGGCTGGAGTGCAGTGGTACAATCTCGGCTCACTGCAACCTCTGCCTCCTGGGTTCAAGTGATTCTTTTGCCTCAGCCTCCTGAGGAGCTGGGATTACAGGTATGCGCCACTATGCCTGGCTAATTTTTGTATTTTTAGTGGATATGGGGTTTCACCATGTTGGCCAGGCTGGTCTCAAACTCCTTATCTCAGGTGATCCGTCCACCTTGGCCTCCCAAAGTTCTAGGATTACAGGTGTAAGCCACCACACCCAGCCTTTTTTTGGGTATTTTTAGTACAGGGTTTTTTTTTTAGAGACAGGGTTTTGCCATGTTGCCCAGGCTGGTCTCGAACTCCTGACCACAGGTGATCCGCCCACCTCCGCCTCAGAAAGTGCTGGGATTACAGGCATGAGCCACTGTGTCCAGCCTTTTCTGTCTAGTTTGTTTCTGTTGTTCAGTTGACAGATTGTTTTGTCTTCCAATTCACTAATCTCTCTATCCCCTTCATTCTGCTATTGAGTCCATCCACTGAGCTTTTTATTTTGGTTATTATATTTTTCAATTGTAAAATTTCCATTTGGTTTTTCTTTATATCTTTTATTTCTTTGTTGAAACTTTCTAGTTTTTCATTTGTTTCAAACATGTTTGTATCTTCTTGTTGAAGCATTTTTTTTTTTAATCATGGCTGCTTTAAAATCCTTGTCAGATAATTCTAACATTTTTGTTGTCTTTTTTTTTTTGAGACAGGGTCTCACTGTGTTGCCCAGGCTGGTCTTGAACTTCTGGGCTCAAGCAATTCTCCTGCCTCAACCTCCAAAGCTCTGGGATTACAGGCGTGAGCCACCATGCCCAGCCCCATTTTTGTTGTCTTGATTGTAGGCATCTGTTGATTATTATTTTTTATTAAATTTGAAAACTTACTGGTTCTTAGCATAATGAGTTATTTTCTATTGAACTCCGGACATTTTTGCATTATATTCTGAGAGTCTGGATCTTATTTAAACATGTTTCATTAAGAGCTGTCCTTTTCAGATAGCACTTCAGCAAGAGAAAAGAGGCCCCGCCTCATTACTGCCTGATTGAGGTAGACTTGGCTTCCTTGACGCCTGAGGGGCAGGGGCTCCTGGGTACATCTGAGTGGGGATGGGCGTTTCAGCTTCCATGTGTTCTCCTTTGGCTCTTAATTTTAATAATACACACACTTTTAAAAGTGATTATTTATATTGCAAGTATGTGCACCTCTTCCCAATACAGAGACAGCCTGGAGCTGTTGCCCAAAGAATTGGAAGCCGTTTAGTTTCAACTGCTACTTTATTTCTACTGAATCAGCATCTTGGCAAAAGAGTGAGAAGGACTGCGCTAGAATGGAGGCTCACCTGCTGGTGATAAACACTCGAGAAGAGCAGGTACTTTCTAATAGATAATGGGGCTCTGAGCCCTGCCTGATCTTTGTAGATCTGTCTTGGCTGCGAAGGAGGTTTTTGCTACTTTGGGATATTTGTGCTATGGCAGAAGGCTTTAAATAAAATAAATAGAAAGGGTTCCTAAGCCTTTATATTCCATACCTCCTTCCTGCTTCAGTAAAACTAACCTCCCCAAAAGAAATTGTGGCATTAAAAATATATGAGGGTTGAATGGAAGGATGAAAATGTTTCAGTCTGAAATATCAATTTGTTATTTCAATATGTAAATGTTTTATACATGATTAACTATTTAACAGATAAGTGGTATTAGGTTGAAAAGAGAAAAGAAAGTTAACTCATGATGAATCACAATCAACACTCAGGAGTGAAAATAAATAATCCTTGAAGTTACGAAAGGAAAATGACTGAATTTACCAAAAGTTTCTCGTGTACAACTTTGAAGAATGTAATCTCTTAGTGAAGAAAAGAGGGGAAGTAAACCTAAGATGAGAATTCATTCTGATCATAGAAATTGCTTCCATACTGGCCAGGCATGGTGGCTCATGCCTGTAATCCCAGCACTTTGGGAGGTCAAGGCGGGCAGATCACTTGAGGCTGGGAGTTCAAGACCAGCTTGGCCAAAATGGTGAAACCCTGCCTCTACTAAAAATACAAAAATTAGCCAGGCATGGTGGCACACGCCTGTAGTCCCAGCTACCGGGGAGGCTGGGGCATGAGAATTGCTTAAGCCTGGGAGGCAGAGGTGCAGTGAGCCAAGATTGCACCACTGCACTCCAGCCTGGGATAGAAGGTGAGACTCCGTCTCAAAAAAAAAAAAAAAAAAAAAAAAAATGCAGCTGTTGCTGGATCCTCTCCTTTTTTTCTCGTTTCTCTAAGGTATTAAGAATTCAGTTCGAGCTGTAAAAAATACTGTAAAGTCTGTGACTCCTTCTTTTCCCCCCTCAGGATTTCATCTTCCAGAATCTGCAAGAAGAATCTGCTTATTTTGTGGGGCTCTCAGATCCAGAAGGTCAGCGACATTGGCAATGGGTAGATCAGACACCATACAATGAAAGTTCCACGTGAGTATAGAATGAGATAAAAGAATCTTGGGTCCTGGATCATGCAGAGAGCTTAGGGTATTCTAGCTATCAGCTATAAAAGTAGAATAGCTCACTATTCTTTTAGCTCTTGGGCACTAGGTTAAATAATTTCATTATCTCATTTAATCTGCACAAGAACCCTATGAGGCACACATCGTTATTTTTCCCACTGTAGATATGAGGAAACTGAGCTTGGAGAGTGTAGATAATTCAGCTAGGTCATCCAGTGGTGTCGACAATAGTTCTCTCTCTTTTTTTTTTGAGATGGAGCCTGTTGCCCAGGCTGGAGTGCAGTGGCACAATCTTGGCTCACTGTAGGCTCCGCCTCCCAGGTTGATGCTATTCTCCTGCCTCAGCCTCCCAAGTAGCTGGGACTACAGGCACCTGCCAACACGCCTGGCTAATTTTTATATTTTTAGTAGAGATGGGGTTTCCCCTTGTTAGCCAGGATGGTCTTGATCTCCTGACTTCGTGATCCACCCGCCTCGGCCTCCCAAAGTGCTGGGATTACAGGCGTGAGCAACCGTGCCTGGCTAACAATAGTTCTCCAATGGGGTGGATCTTACTGTGCTTTTAACCAGTATATTTACCTGTTTCTACATAGTGAAAATCCATGTTAATTAAGATCATAACCAATTATTAAGATCTGATAATTCTTTTTTTTCTTTTTTGAGACAGGGTCTTACTCTGTCAACCAGGCTGGAGTGCAGTGGTGCAATCATGGCTCGCTGCAGCCTTGAATTCCTGGGCTCAAGGGATCCTCCCACCTAAGTCTTCTGAGTTGTTAGGATGACAAGTGTGTGCCACCACACCCAGTCAGGTTGAAGATTTAATCCTTCTTATGAAGCAAAAATGCTAAATTCTGATAATCTTATATCTCATATTTATGTAATTATTTAATTACATAAATTACATACTTTACATACATTACATAAATTACATAAAATATATACTTTACTGGATTACCACCTTTGATCTTCATATCCACTGTATGAAATAAATTGTGATATTACTCTAGTCCTCATTTTTTAGATAGAAAAATTGAGAATCAGGGAAGTTAAATTACTTATCCAATAACAGGGATAAGTAGAAGATCCAAAAGATTTTACTAGTTCTCTAGACTTTAAAAACAGTGCATTAAAAAAAGGAAAAACTCTATTGATGAGTGGGAACAGGGTGAAATCTTTTCATCATACAAGGACACCCTATAGGTTAACAGACCCATAGGAACAGGACATAAGGATGGACAAAGAGAAGAGAACCTCTAGAAAATCTGTGGTGAGGATATTCAAGGCAGTAAGAGAGAGAACATTGAGTGATGTAAGCACAGTTTTCAAAGGAAATGCCGGAAACGCAGATGGAGGAGAAGCTGCATGATGAGTGGCTGAAAGGTAGATTTGGGCATATCTGACCCTATGTTCCATGAAATTCATTCCTAGCTCCTCACCCCTGTCTTTAACTCTTTTCAAAGCTCTGAAGAAATGCCCTCATCTTTTTTGTCCCTTTCAGATTCTGGCATCCACTTGAGCCCAGTGATCCCAATGAGCGCTGTGTTGTGCTAAATTTTCGTAAAACACCCAAAAGATGGGGCTGGAATGATGTTCATTGTGTTGTTCATCAAAGGTCAGTTTGTGAGATGACGAAGATCCACTTATGAATTGAACATTCTCCATTAACAAGTGGTTGGATTGGCATCTGTCATTGTAGGGATAGATAACAAGCTCTTCTTATTTATGTGTAAAGGAGGTCTATATAATTTAGGTGGTCTGTCAACTATTCTACTTATGAGAGAATCGGTCTGTACATTGATTGATTCACTTTTTCGTAAAGTGAGCATTTATTCATGTGCCAAAGCCTGTACTGAAGACCCCTACTGTGCACACATGGAGAGAACATGAGTCTCTCTTAATTTTTGTCTGGTTGCTAAAGAATTATTTACCAATAAAATTATATGATGTGGTTTCTCCTCCTGTCTGGTTTTCTCTTCATCCCTACTATACTGATGTATAATTGCCAAATAAAATTGTATATATTTAAGGTGTACACTGTGGTGATTTGACATACATATATTGTAAAATGATTACCATAATCAAGTTGGTTAATCCACACCCATTAACTTAAATAGTTAACAATCTTGTGTGTAGTGAGAACGTTTAAGATCTACTCCCTTCTGGCCATTGGTATCAACAAACACAAAGAAAGATCCACTCCCCAATAAATTTCAAGTGTACAATGCATCATTATTAACTATAGTCACCATACAGTACATTAGATCTCTAGAACTTCGTCATCTTAGAACTGAAAATTTGTACCCTTTGACCAACATTGCCTGATTTTCTCCACTGCCCTCCATCCCCTGGCAACCATCATTTTACCCTCTGTTTCTATGGATTGACTTTTTAAGGTTCTACATATAAGTAGAATTGTACAGTACTTGTAATTCTCTATAGGACTTATTATATTTCACTTAGTATAATGCCCTCCGGATTCATCCATGTTGTGCAAATGACAGGATTTCATTTTTTTATGGCTGAATAATACTCCATTGTATATACATAGTACATTTTCTTTATCTTTCATCTATTGGCCAATACTTGTTTCCATGTTTTCACTGTTGTGAATAATGGTCCAATAAGTATGGAAGTGCAGATATCTGTTCTAGATAGTGATTTCATTTTCTTTTGGTATATACCCAGAAGTAGGATTGCTGGATCATATGATAGTTTTATTTTTATTTATTTGTTAATTAATTTATTTATTTAGAGATGGAGTCTCATTCTGTTGGCAGGCTGGAGTGCAATGGTGTGATCTCAGCTCACTGCAACCTCTGCCTCCAGGTTCAAGCAATTCTCCTGCCTCAGCCTCTCAAGTAGCTGGAACTACAGGTGCATGCCACCATGCCCAGCTAATTTTTCTATTTTTAGTAGAGATGGGGTTTTGGCATGTTGGCCAGGATGGTCTCGATCTCTTGACCTTGTGATCCACCTGCCTCTGCCTCCCAAAGTGCTGGGATTACAGGTGTGAGCCACCACACCCGGCCAGATAGTTTTATTTTTAGTCTTTTGAGGAACTTCCATACTGTTTTCCATAATAGCTGCACTAATTTATATCCCCACCAACAGAGCACAAAGGTTCCCTTTTATCTACATCCTTACCAATACTTGTTAGCTTTTGTCTTTTTAAATAATAGCTATTCTAACAGGTGTGTGGGTAGTATCTCATTGCAGTTTTGATTTGAATTTCCCTAATGATTAGTCATGTTGAACACATTTTCATGTATCTGTTGGCTATTTGTATGTTTTCTTTGGAAAAATGTCTATTCAGGTTCTTTGACCATTTGTAAATCGAATTATTTGTTTTTTTTTATTGCTGTTGAGTTGTACAAATTTCTTACATCAAGCTTGTCCGACCTGTAGCCTGCAGACCACAGGTGGCCCAGGATGGCTTTGAATGCAGTCCAACACAAATTCGTAAACTTTCTTAAAACACTATGAGATTTTTTAGCTCATTAGCTGTTGTTAATGTTAGTGTACTTTATGTGTGGCCCAAGACAATTCTTCTTCTAATGTGGCCCAGAGAAACTAAAAGATTGGACACCCCTGTCTTACATATTTTGAATATTAACCCCTCATAGATATATAGTTTGCAAAGATTTTCTTCCATTCTGTAGACTGCTCTTTCATTTTTTGATTGTTTCCACTGCTGTGCAGAAGCTTTTTATTTTGATGCAATCCTATTTGTCTGTTTCTGCTTTTGTTTCCTGGTTTTCTTTTTTTAAATGAAATTGAGTATTTTATTTCTTATTTTGCTGCAAAGCTGTTGCTTCGCTGTATAAAAATAGCAACAGGAAATGTACTATATTGAACAATTAAGATAGTGTTGTTCTTCATCTGACACTGTACATCCACTGACAAAAAGTTCTCTACTCCCAATTACTTCCAATGGAAAGATGATTTAGTATTTTGACCCAAATCCAGATATTGATATAAGCAACCTACAGTATTATATTAGGTTTAAGACAACAATGGTATCCTTGAATTACATAATATTAATAACTAGGTTTTGCCATAATTTCATGAATTCTGAATATTAGAGCCTAGTCTAAAAATCATAGGGTATTGTGAAAAAGAAGCATATTGTATTTATCCACAATCATTAGAAATTTTTTTTGTTTGTTTGCTGTTTTTTGAGATGGAGTCTTGCTCTGTCGCCCAGGCTGGAGTGCAGTGGCATGATCTCAGCTCACTGCAACCTCTGCCTGCTGGTTTCAAGTGATTCTCCTGCCTCAGACTCCTGAGTAGCTGGGATTACAGGCATGTGCCACCATACCTGGCTAATTTTTGTATTTGTAGTAGAGAAAGGGTTTCAGCATATTGGCCAGGCTGGTCTCAAACTCCTGCCCTCAGGTGATCTGCCTGACTTGGCCTCCCAAAGTGCTGGGATTACAAGCGTGAGCTGTAGTTCATCTACTTCTGAAGGGTTACCGAGTGTCATTGTGATCATCCAATCATCTTCATAACAAGATTTGTGTTGCGGGAAGTCAGGGACCCTGAACGGAGGGACTGGCTGGAACTGAGGCAGAAGAACATAAACTATGAAGATATCATGGACATTTATCAGTTCCCAGAATTAATACTTTTATAATTTCTTACGCCTGCCTTTACTGCAATCTCTGAACATAAATTGTGAAGATTTCATGGACATTTATCAGTTCCCAAAACTAATACTTTTATAATTTTTTATGTCTGTCTTTACTTTAATCTCTTAATCACGTTATCTTTGTAAGCTGAGAATGTACATCACCTCAGGACCACTATTGTACAAATTGATTGTAAAACGTATAGTTGAACAATATGAAATCAGTGTACCTTGAAAAAGAACAGAATAACAGCGATTTTCAGGGAACAAGGGAACATAACCATAAGGTCTGACTCCCTGCAGGGTCAGGCACAATAGAGCCATATTTTTCTTCTTGCAGGGAGCCTATAAACAGCTGTGTGAGTAGGAGAGATATCGCTGAATTCTTTTCCCAGCAAGGAATATTAAGAATTAATACCCTGGGGAAGGAATGCATTCCTTGGGGGAGGTCTATAAACGGCCACTCTGGGAGTGTCTGTCTTATGCACTTGAGATAAGGACTGAAATAAGCCCTGGTCTCCTGCAGTACCCTCAGGCTTACTAGGACTGGGAAATTCCAGCCTGGTAAATTCTAGTCAGACTGGTTCTCTGCTCTCTAATGCTGTTTCCTGTTAAGATGTTTATCCAGACAATATGTGCACAGTGGGACATAGACCCTCATCAGCACAGCAGGGCATAGACCCCCAGCAGTAATTCTAATTTTGCCCTTGCCTTGTGATCTTTATTGCCTTTTGAAGCATGTGATCTCTGTGACCTACTCCCTGCACATACACCCCCACCCCTTTTAAAATCCCTAACAAAAACTTGCTGGTTTTGCGACCTGGGGTCATCACGGTCCTACCAATATGTGATGTTACCCCTGGAGGCCCAGCTGTAAAATTTCTAGGCCCAGCTGTAAAATTTCTCTCTTTGTACTCTTTCTCTTTATTTCTTAGACCAGCCAACACTTAGGGAAAATAGAAAAGAACCTACGTTGAAATGCTAGGAGCTGGTTCCCCCAATAGATTTGTTGACAACTCTGGATTTTCTTCAAGGGATTCTGATAAAGGAGAAAAGAGTTCATTAGTAGCTTTCATACTTTCCAAAGCACCAAACTCGTCTTATTTGTTCAATTTTGTCCCAACTTCAGGCTGACTACAGTAAACAACACCTCCCAAAGATCCCTGTGCAAATTGCTGATTCACACTGTTACAATACCATTTTCTGTTATTATGCATTCATGTTTCTCTGTGAATTTATGCAGTGAGAGCAGAACATGTCTAGAAGGCACCCACCCTCAGCCACCAGAGCCTCTGCAGGCAAGGCCCAGCAGGTGCTGAGGGTGCATGCAGGCTGCATACCACTGCCTGCAAACTCCACACCACTCTCAGTGCCATGTTCACAGGAGCTTTTCTTCTTATATCTATTAAAAAAATAATTCTCCAGAAAAATGGCAAGTGGCTTTTTTCCTATTTTTCTTTCTATGAATTTTATGGTTTTAGGCCTTACATTTTTTTTTTTTTTTTTTTGAGACGGAGTCTTGCTCTGTTTTCCAGGCTGGAGTGCAGTGGCCGGATCTCAGCTCACTGCAAGCTCCGCCTCCCAGGTTTATGCCATTCTCCTGCCTCAGCCTCCCGAGTAACTGGGACTACAGGCACCCGCCACCTTGCCCGGCTAGTTTTTTGTATTTTTTTAGTAGAGACGGGGTTTCACCGTGTTAGCCAGGATGGTCTCAATCTCCTGACCTCGTGATCCTCCCGTCTCGGCCTCCCAAAGTGCTGGGATTACAGGCGTGAGCCACCGCGCCCGGCCTAGGCCTTACATTTAAGTCTTTGATACATTTTAAATTAATTTTCATAAGTGGTGGAAGATAAGGTTTCAATTTCATTCTTTTACATGTGGATATCCAGTTTTTCCAACACCATTTACTGAGGAAACTGTCCTTTCTTATTTTGTTTTCATCTTGGCACCCCTGTCAAATATTAGTTGACTGTATACCTGGGAGTTTATTTTTAAAATTATTACTAAATAATCACTTAAAGTAGTTAACTATTTTTAATTATTAAGAAATAACATTATTACATAATTATTTAAAATAATTATTATTTAAAAAATTTCCAAAACTGTCAAAAAGAATAAACTACTTAGGAATAAATTTAACCAAAGAGGTGAAAAATCAGTACACTGAAAATTATAAAACACTGATGAAGGAAATTTAAGACACAAAGCAATGAAAAGATATCCTATGTTTATGTGTTGAAATAATTAATGTTAAAATGTTCATACTGGAGTAATATTGGCAAGCTAACCTACACTAGAAGCCTTTAGTGCTCATCCGCACACAAGG